TGGATAACGGACAAGAGTCCTCCGCAGCGCTCCCGGCACCGGCTCAAGAGAAGAGAGCCCCGGGAGCTACTGACGCTGGACCGACGCTCACGGTCCATGTGGACGGGCGCATGGCTCCTGATACCACCATCGTGGTCAGGTCGCAGGATGGACGTGCGACCGCCACGGTGGGAGGCGTGACCATCACCGCCTCACAGGGAGTCAGTGCCCAGCAGTCCCCTCTGGCTGCTGAGCAGCCATCACAAGATCGGGAGGCTGCTCAATCTCGGTCGCAGCTGATGGGCTGCTACATCTGTGGAGAGCCTGGGGTGACCAACTCCCAGCGGTGCCCGAAGGAGGCTACACACTGGCGCTACCCGAAAGATCGCGCGCCAGGTGTAGCCAAACGATGATGTAGGCCCTGGAGGGCAAATAAATTAGCCGAAATACAGAAGGGAGTTGTTATTTTGTTTCCTTTCCTTCTTTATGACTTTGAGGTTCCTGATGGCAGCGAATCGCGAGTATTCGTCCTGCCCGGGTAGTCAGGACTTGGAGAGGGCTGCAACGGTAGTCGATTCATTTAATCGAACCGTTCGCGATTCTGATTTTTGCGCGTTAGTTCTAAGTATTGAGAGAGAGAGGGGGCGCGCGATCTTTTAAATTAGCAGTTACATCTCAGCTGTTACGCGTGTAGTACCGCTAAAATAGTTTTGCACATTGTTTCACCGATTTGCCAATAAATAGTTTATTTGGATTTTGGATACGTGTGCAAGGGTGAGCGAGGAAGCAGCAACAGTAGCAGCATCACAAAAGCAGCAGCATAAGTGACAGCTATTAAACAGCGGATTTGCGATCGAGGCAGCACAGCTGATTTGGATCGGAGGAGCACCTTTAATTTGCTTCAACAATTACGGCTGATCACCGTAATTGCACCGCAGGGTAGGTGTACCTCCCATAATTATCGCGCGACATAAAATATTTGATATTTTGTCCAACTGTGTTAGCGTTGATTTTTTGTATTCGCGCCGAGCGTTAGATCGCGCCAATTTTCGTATCTTCTCTCTCTCTCTCTTTCTCACCGAAAGTTATTTAATTGTAAATCCCATTCGCGTGCGTCAGTCTTTCGGCCCGACAAAGACTGTAGAGATTTTTTTAATAAAATCTATTAAAATTATTCGCCGATTTCGTCATATGATTTTTCCTAGTAGTTTAAATAATTAGAAAAAGCTTAGGTTTTAATCCTATTATAGCTAGGGGATTAGGTGGATTTGGAGTAAAGTCGCTTACACTTGAAACTTATCGTGTGTCACAAGGCACGTGACTTAAGGTGAGTTCAACTCTGCTTGATCGAAGACAACTAAGTTAAGTCAGCTGACGTTAAGGCGAATACATGTATTAACATACGTGTTAACGGAGCGGCGGTTTGCTCTGCATCGTGGGAGTTTGTTCTTAAATAAATTTCTCATTTTTGCAGATTTATCCCCCCGTTACAAATAATAGTAATAATATTTTTCTCTTAATAATAATGAATTGTTTTTCAAAACAACATTAATAACTCAAAATTTTCTTTCATAATTAAACTTAAATAAATAATTTCAATAAATCATAAACTTTAGACTTTCAAATTTAAAAGTGATCTCAGCTTTTCAAATTTGAATCTACCAAGAGCTTTTATGAATATATCTGCTAAATTATTTTCAGAGTCTATTTTTACAATATCAATATCTTTGCGCTCATAACATTCATTGACGAAGTGATAATGTATTTCTATGTATTTTGATTTTTTTGTTAAATTTCCAAATTTTGCAATTTCTACTGTACTTGAATTATCTTCATAAATTTTAATAGGTGTATTCATTTTAATTCCAAAAGCATTTAATAAGAGATTTATAAATTTAATTTCGCTAACCGCTTCAGACAAGGCTACATATTCTGCAGAAGTCGAAGACTTTGTGACGCTACTTTGTTTTTTTGTTTTCCAATAAATTACAATTCCAAAAAATCTTATTACATATCCAGATGTAGAACGACGATTTATCGAATCGCCAGCCCAATCAGCATCAACATAGCACTCTAAAGTATCTGCTTTCAAATTCCTCGTGTATGTTAATTTTAAATTTTTTGTTAAATATAAATATTTTAATACTCTCAGAGCATATTTGTAATGAGTTTCATTGTAGCAGTTTTGAAATCTACTTAGATAATTCACACTATAGGTAATGTCCAATCTTGTACACGTACTAATATATAACAATGCTCCAATTAAGTTTCGATATTTAATGTCGTTTGATGCTGTTTGTGCTATTTCCAAAATTAAATTTTGCTCCATAGGAGTGTTATACAATTTACTATCTTTTATTTTGTAATTTTCGGCTAAAGAATCAATATATTCGCATTGGTCTAATGTCATTTTATGTTGTTCAAAATTGTATTCAATGTTTATGCCAAGATAAGTTTTCAGTTTACCTAAGTCTTTCATTGCAAATCTATTTTGTAATTTAACTTCAATTTCGTTTATTTTTTCAATTTTCTTGCCACATATTAGCAAATCATCAACAAACAATATTAAATAAATATTCTCACCATCTTCACCGTGTAAAATATACAAACAGTAATCGCTGTTACTTCTTACAAAACCTAGACTTCTTATATATTTATCAAAACATTCATACCACGCTCGTGGACTCTCTCTCTCAAACCATACAAAGTTTTTATTAATTTATAAACTCGACCAGTTTTATCATCATAACCGTTTGGTTGTTTAATGTAAATTTCGGATTTAATATTTCCATTGAGAAATACGGTCTCAACATCCATTTGTTCGATTAAATATTTATTTTGAACACAGAAGGCTAATAATAGTTTTAATGTTTGAATTCTTGCAACAGGTGAATAAATATCATTTACAATTTCTTTTTGTTGAAAACCTCTTACAACTAATCTCGCTTTTTTAATATTATTTGCTTTGTATGTAAATACCCATTTTACATCAATTACTTTTTTATCTTTAGGTTTCTCGACTAGTTTCCAAGTTTTATTTTTATTAATGCATTCAATTTCTTTTTGCATTGCAATTTTCCATAGATCAGACTCATTACTACTTAAAGCTTCTTCATATGTTTTTGGACTATTTGCGCTAACGTAATTTACATAGATATAGTAAGTTTCGCTTTCACCGTATCTATCAGGTTTTTTTTTATCTCTTGTCGACCTACGAGGTGTGATTTGTTCTTCACACTCTACATACTCGTCAGATTCATTTTCAATACTTTTTTCTTTTTCAATCTTTGGACTTAGACTTTCTTTCAACCTTTTAATTTTACTTTTACTTGGGCTTTTAAATACATCATCATTTTCAGTCTCACTTTCGCTCTCATTATCTCCTTTAAAACCAATCAAAACTTCATCGTCTTCTACAAAATCACATGTCTTTCAACTGTTATTCTATTACCTGTTAATACTCTATAACCCACTTTCTCATAACCAACAAGTATACCAAAATCTGATTTCCGATCCCATTTTGAGTCTCTTTGCTTCCATACAATTTTAAATTTTCAATATTTGGCCTTTTACCACGAAATATTTCGTAAGGACTTTTATTTTCAATAGTGTTCGCAATTGTTCTATTTTTAAGGTAACTAGCTGTTAAAACTACTTCAGGCCAATATCGTCTATTTAAATTTGCTTCTGACATTAAATAACGAGCCGAATCCATAATTGTTCTATTAAAGCGTTCCGCCGTACCGTTTAACTCATGTACATAAGGTGGACAATTGTCCATTATGATTCCTTTTTCTCTAATCAAGTTAAAAATATCTTTATTTAAATACTCTTTTCCATTATCACATCTTAGATATTTTATTTTATTACCAGTGTGATTCTCAACTTTATTTATATAATCTAGAAAACATGTGTACACTTCATTTTTTCTTTTTATCGTATAGACAATAGAAAATTTGCTGTAGTCATCGAGAAATATCAAAAAATAACTTGAGCCATCATAACCAGTAGTTTTATGAGGTCCATTTAAATCTGTATGTACAATCTCTAGAATTCTACTTGCTCCACTACGATGATTTTTAAATGGCAAATTATGCATTTTATTTTGTAAACATGTTCCATATTTTAAATGAATATTTTCTAGATTTTTGGGTAGACCGTCAACTAAATTCTCTTTACACATTTTATTCAAGTAGTTAAAATTTATATGGCCAAGCATTCTATGAAATTTTTCTTTTTCAGTCATTTTGTTTGTATTAGAAGAAAATGAATTTTGAATTTCTATTTGACTCTCAAGTATATATAAACCATTTGCCTTTTTTGCTATACCAATAATGTTATTCGTTTTATTGTAAATTAATGACTGTTCTCGAATTGATACGATTTTATAATTATCAGTTATTCTCGCGTAACTGAGTAAATTTTTGTCCATTTCTTTAATCAAGGGTCGCGGCAGCGACCTGAGGTATGAATGCCGCAGGCGCAGCTAGCGCGACACTATACACAACAGAGTCGGGAGTAAAATTTTTCAATTCCTTTTTAAATCATATATATATATATATATATTAATTGATCCCTGTGCTTTTACTTTATCTTTTGTTAATATAATAAGCCAAACTCTTATGTTTTTATTTAAAAAACTATGTTGTTATATTGTTTTTCCCCCGAAACTTTTTTAACTAGCCCGATTTCTTATGTTTTTTTCCTTCAAGCCATTATCTGGAACTCAGATGATCTGGAATGCAGATGAAAGATTATCTGGTCTGGCTAATCTGAATGACGGAATGAATATTGCGATAACTATTGCGTTATTTTTGTGAGCGTATAACTTATTATAGCCATTTAAATTATCAGACTAACAGTATAATATGATTTTAAGTGTTTTTCATATATTTATTTATTGTAATAAAAGAACCCTTGAAAAGAATAAATGAATATAGTCGGACCTCCTTTCAAAAGTTTTTCTAAATATTTTAGTATAGCGCCACCTTGTGACGCATATTATCAATAGTCAATATATCAATATCATCAAATATTGTCTAGTCCAGTGACTTGCTCTGTGTTTGTGACCAGTAGTAGCTACTACGGCTGTGTAAGCTCAAGACTTGCTTATAGCTGAGTTTATCTATCAGATGTAAGTGTTTATATAAAATATTGTATTTTTATTAATTAATTTACTTAAAAACTATTAAAAAAAAACTATTAAAATAAAACCAGCTTGTAAATTCTCTGAATTATATTATTTTATATCTAAAACGTAACACGAGAGTGATCCATGATGTTACTCTTAAGAACCCCGTTTTCAAGCTAGTAGATAAAAAATTAAAAAAAACGATTAAGAAAAGTTATAAGCCTTTCTTACTAAAATAAAATAGTTTTATTAATCTGAATGATGTCTTATTGATTTCCAACTATTTTTTGATGAGCCAATGTTTTTTTATTTACATATAGTTAGTATTCTAGATTATGTATATGCATATATTCATCTTAAATTTAAATATCATGTTCTATATTATTATTTATCTATGCAGAAATCTTATCGAAGACAGCACACACAATGCCTCTTAATTCTCTAGGAGAAAACATTGATTACACAAGTGATCAAGATATTAAATATATGTTGGAGGAAGAGGAAGATGATTATTCAATGTAAGTTTTTTTTCTTATGTATACTATTCTTTAATCTGTTCGATACAGTTTTTCTAGTAATATATATATTTTTGTTGGCATTCTGTTCGATTCAATTTTTTTATTATTTTTTAATCATACATACATATATATTGGATAAAATCATATGTACTAAAACATTCATTTCATTTTCAGAGAATTTGTAGGATATCTGTGTGAAATACCAGGGTATAAGACAGTGATCGATAAGAATAATCAAGAGAAGGAGTTATTCAGGGCTGTAATCTCTAATGGCAATAAAAGAATGATGCTGATAACATGGGATCCAGAGAAAATTGAAGAATCGGCTCCAAAGTTCATTTCAGGAGCAGTATGTTTTTATTGTTAATACTAAAACAATTTTTCACTAAAAAAGATTGACATTTTCAGATATTACACCTGGACGGTTGCCAAGGTCACCATATTACGCTACGTAAAAGTCACAAAGACTTACAATTACTTCCGTTTGAGATCCTGATCCATCCTACATCTGTAGTTCAAACTAAGGGTTTTCGTGTGAAGGCAACTGCATCAAAAAAGGCAGAGATTCCAACAATAATGTTCAAGGACATAGAGAATGCGACAGGTTACATTAGTAAGTAATCAGTGTCAATATTACTTATGAAATTTTATGATATGTTATTCAATTTCTTTCATTTCAAACTGTTTTAGAAGTGAAAGCCTACATTAAAACTGTTATTACTCAAGCACATACCCGTAGTGGTAGCATGGATTTTGGATCTGGCTCGCTAACAGATGGATCACGAAAAATATCTATACACGTTTCAAATTTTAAGGCAGGCGACTCATTGAAGATGGTAAAAGGATCATGCGTTTTAGTGACAGCTGAAGTAAGCCGTACAGGTATTATTATTATTTATGCCTTTGATAGTATATGAAGAATGTATTTATATAAAAAAAATACATTTTCTAATTATCAAAATTATTTCTATTTAGGAAAATTTAGGCTAATATGCAAAAACATTGGTGACATTGAAGTCCTTGAAAAGGAGGACAAACTTCCTACAGACAAAGTTACAAAAGCAAATGAATCTTTGAAAAGAAAGAATCAAAGTGAAAATGAAAATGTCAATGCGAAAACATATGGCAACAAGAAAATAAAGACAATATTAACGGATACTAACAACGTTAATAATGGAAAAAACATGAATCTTGAAGAAAACATCATGGAAACTAGTTTATAATGGTCGTTTTTGTTATTTAACATCAATGTCTTAACTTATTATTATTTATTAGATTGTTCTCAATATCTTAACTTATTATTTATTAGATTGTACTCAATATCTTAACTTATTATTTATTAGATTGTTCGTATTAGTTTTTTCATACAATATAAAAAATAACAAGACTTTCATATATTAATAACGAACTTTGGAATACGTGGATGTATTTTTACATTATTTTTAGTTTATTTTCTCGACAGACTTACGCTAATAAAAATGACTGATGAATAGAATGATTACATGTTAAAATGACTTGGTGCAAACTGTTGAATACTATGTGATGAATAATTATTTAGTAGTAAGGAAAAAGGTATTTCAACATTTTTTTTCTCTTACAGAATGTCATTTACTTAGAAATCATCTGTAAAATATAATATATAATATAGAAGTTATATATGAATGTAAGATGTAGTCATTAGCATAAGCTCTTGTTATGATACTGATATATATATATATATATATATATATATATAAATATTGAAACTAAAAATGTACTTTTATAAGTATATATTGAAACTAAAAATGTACTTTTATAAGCACAGACAATGTTCTATGTATTATTAATAATATGTGTATTATTAATAACAAAATACTTATAGTTATTTTTTCATGTCATAAATGAATAAAAGCAAAACCAAAATAGACTAAAATAAATTTTTTTTAATTAATACAATCAACTCACTATCCGATTTTGGAAAAAAGATTCTTTACGTAAATCATTTTTGTTGTAATAATTCAACGAATATGAGTTATGGAAATTTTTTATAGAGCAATTACTTTATATTTATTTACGAGCAAATTATGGGGAATTCGGTCTTTGGGTTATATTATTTCAATTTCAAATACATTGTTTTTTGACTCTTGGATCACGGAAAAGTCCATGTTACTTTTCTCTAGGAGTCCTAATTGGAACTAGTGTTTCATATTGTGACAGTTAACCTAACTTATCACGTGTTTATAGATAATCTCAAAAGCACATTTCTTGAAAATATTTGCGATACTTATTTTTGAAGTTTTCATAGTCGTAATAATAATGTACTTTACATATTGTATTAGTCAGATTCATGGATTCCAGTATCGATTGTAAGTATTTATTTATTAGACGTTAAAAATGTTTTGTATCATCTGAAAATTATGCTACTTATTTCACAATCATATTTTTTTTATACAATATCTTTCGCTTCTGTAGATACTTTTGTTGAGAAATTATTATGGAAATACGTAAATCTTATTTTACATTAAGGTATCATTTGCTTCTGAAGTTACTTTTGTTGAGATATTATCATGAAAATATGTAAACCTTATTTTATATTAAGGAATTTTTTGACAATATTGTTTGAAAATATTAATTTTAGTGAACAGTAAAACATGTGATGCATATTCTTATAGTCCTATTGAGATATCTATACTTTTTTTAGTAATTTAGTTTTATATAAGTTTTCATTATAATATTTTGATGTTCCAGTTTCCTCGTTTGTACTTATGGCATTATATTATGAGAGGATGCTAATTTAGTTTTGAATTTTTTTTCCAAAATTTGTGGAGGAATACATTGAGAATTCAATTCGTATTCGGTAAGACTACATTTCAGTATTCATTTTACTACACTCAGGAAGAAAAAAGTTACAATGTGTATTAAACTAAACCAGTCTATTAATTGATGATAGTGGTGTTATATTTCTAGAACATGGACATTTTCATGCATAAAATAAAAGTTATAGCTACATAGAAATAAATAATTTGGTCTCATAACGTATTTCAACAAAATTTATTTAATAAACTACTTTTAGCATACATTTCTTTCAGTACGTACTCTTTAATAAATAGTCATCGTTTTAAAGATACTTTGTGTTTTTTATTACTGCTGTTTGTGTTTTCATATCTTAAATATTATGATTATTATATAGAGTATAATTAAGATGGCTTAAAGTTATAGTTATTATTCAAATTTGGCTCAGAACATATTTTGTAGTCTCTGTTAATATTCAATATTATCTTATCTAAATGTCGTTTCTGAATCGTTGCTTGTAGCAATTTCCTGACAGAGACAACATACATAGAAATATTTTTTGAAATGTATGTGTACTCTGCTCTGGTATGCATACAGTTTAACATTAGAAACCACTTTGCATTGAAACGCTTGTATTGCTTGCTTATATCAATTATAATTTTTGCGAAAACATTTTTTATATATACAACGGTCTTCCTTATATTTTTAATAAATGATTTTGTTTTTATCTTTTTATATGAAAAAAGAACAATTTAATGAATAAATGAATTTTTTTTTCAGGTTTCTTTATGTGCAAGGACTTTTAATTTTGTAGACAATTCGTTAGGTAAATTTGAAGATTATACACATAAAGTTAATGTTGTTATTTTCTCACCTATTATACTGTCTACAATATGAATAATTTATATTGAATAAATAAGAAAATTGTTCAAAATAAATGTTTTTTTAGTTTTAATTTATATATCGTACCCACTTTACATAAATATATTTTTACTGTACCTGTACTATCAAAAATTCTGTGCCTAAAACATAAAATATATTGTACCTACGCTGTACTTTTACTGTACCTATATACTGCACCTGGATACACTGTACTTTTACTGTACCTATATACTGCACCTGGATACACTGTACTTTTACTGTACCTATATACTGCACCTGGATACACTGTACTTTTACTGTACCTATATACTTCACCTGGACTATAAATTTACTAATATACTGCACCTGGACTATAAATTTACTAAACGGAGCGCGAATTTATAAATTATTTGTCTAAAACTATTTTTTGGTGTATATATTATTTTCTAAACAAATAATATAAACCAAAGCAATATGATCAATCACAATTAATTATTTCGTTACAAAATATGTTATAATGATATGTTATAGTGATATGAAATTGATTTTGGCTGGATCCAAACTTAAAGACACTCACATTGATCTATTTCACTACATTTTATATGAATATTCTCAAAAAAGACCTCCCATTATTCAACCAAGAAGTACATTACCCCTTCAAAATTTTATGAAAATTCCGGGACGGCAGTGGATTAAGCCTATTCTTTACAATTCAATACATTTACAGTTATTGCACAGTTGTAATGATTTTTGTAAGAATTGTATGGGCGGTCATTGGATATGTATATATTATGATACTAATTTTAATCGCGTTTATGATTCCTGTAATTTTAAAAAGTTACACGAGTGCCATGAACAATATTTAAACCAATTATTTCCTTATTTAATAAAAAATGGAAAAGTAGATAGACAGAAACTCATTTTTGAAAAAGTACAATGTCAAAGAAATGATAACGATTGTGGCATTTTAGCTATAGCATTCGCTACATCAATATTTTTCAAAGCGAATCCCTCAATAATAAATTATGATTACGACAAAATGAGAGGTCACTTGTGGAATATATTCCAAACTTATAAATTGTTAGCTTTTCCATCGACAGATATCACTTTAATATCGAATAAGGGCGATACGTGCAATTCGATCAATTCTATAAGTAGCAAAAATGAATATCCATTATCTTTTGTAGCGAACCGACAAATAGATAAAACAATATATGATTGTAATAATCAAAATTGCTTAGAAAGTTATATTTGTAATAATGTAAATCCATATAATGTAAATGTGAGACATGATCAAGATAATTGGGAAATTGTTGGGCTTCCTAATTACGACATGGTTTCATGTTATGCAAATGCATCGATACAAAGTTTACTAAATAATTATTCAATAAGAAAAAACTTGAATAATGACATTGAAGATAAGATGTTCACAATAATGACACAATACCAATCGAAATGTACAAATAAAGCAGTAGATGTAGATATCATAGGTTTAAGAGCTTTCGTTGACATTACATATGGTGAACCGCTTCAACAAGATGTTCCTGAATTCATCGGTCATCTTGTCAATAAATCTAAAAGTTTACAGCGATCGATTCAACATAAGACAGGTTGTATTTTTACATGTCCTAATCGTGAATGCAATCATATTAAAAATTTTGGTATGTACTCTAATTACATCTTACCTTTGCATTTGACAGATAAGAAATCATTATATCGTTCACTACAAAATTTAATTGACGACAATCTCAAATCGGCATCACCTACAGATGTAATTTGTTCAGTTTGTAAAAAGTTTACAATTTATGAATCTCTTAATTTTAGTACTAACAATGAAGTCATAGTGCTGCAATTGAAGATTTTTGAACTACGGGAATTATCGAAAGGAATAACTGAAATTAGAAAAATCAACAATTTTATTCTTAAAGATATTGAAACCAATGTACACATTAATAATAAGGAATATTCGATCAGCAGCATTATTATTCACGAAGGGGAAACTTCTAAAAGTGGTCATTACACCAACATTCTTCGTCAAGGTGAACAATGGTTTTTAGTTAATGATTCCAATTTTAACAAGATATTATATCCAAGAAGTATCAAAAATACATATGTCATATTTTTACAACCAGCCCCAGTAGAGTCAGCATTATTAAGAACACCAGTATTAAGAACGTCAGTAATCCATCAAAAACGTAAAGCTACAGATAATACCAACAATACCAACAATAAAGATTGTATTTTATTTAATAAGAGCTTAAGTCTTATTTCGATAGATTCTGAAGTTCCGGTTGCAAAGAAAATGAAATTAAGTAATCAAGCGAAAGAAATATTATTAAAATCTGAATTAGTGCCATCATTTGAAGAGGACTCTTTAAAAAATTGTAGTAATGACAATAAGCAGAATAAAACAAATTATACGAAACATGACGAAAATCGAATGCAATTATACAATAAAAATTATTATGCCAAAAACAAAGAAAAAATACTAACATATCAAAAACAATATTATGCTCAAAATAAAGGAAAAATTAGTGGGCATAAAAAAAATTACTATAAAAAGAATAAAGAAATTATACTGCAGCGTCAAACAAATTACTATAATTTAAATGAAGACAAATTAATCAAAGCCAAAAATCGACATGCCTTAAAAATCAAAAGGAAATATTTCGTCGTAAACCTTAAGCACACTACCAGAAAATTGTTTCATGAAAAACACAATTGTGTCAATAAAATTATACCACTTTTAAATTTACCATCTGTGACCGAAGCTAGAATTAGAGCTGAGTGTTTAGTTACTAAAGTTATTTCCGTTAGAGACAGATTTATATCAGAAGCCAAATATACGTTGAAAAAATTGAAAGATAAAGCGGCTATTGGTATGAGTCGTTTACGGGATATCAAAATAACCAACGTTAATATTAATAATGCAATTGCAGCCTTGTGTGGAACTTCAATGCATTCTTCGCTTTCAGAACCATATTTTTCTGAAGCAATTTATGATTTTGGAAATGGATTACTTATGACAGATTCGTGTAAAATGAATGTAATAGTTTTGAATGAAAATGGACAATCAACTAATATCATACCTTTACTTAAAGGCACAAAAAAACAAAATACTTGGTTATGTAGTCAATACTGTAAAATGCCTGATATTCACACTGTAAACGAGATTAAAAATTTTTTTGAAAATTTGATTAATTTAGTTTATGCAGATGCTTATGAGTTTTTCAAAAATCTTGATAAATGTAGTGCCGAATCACAAAATCCTGAAAAACTTGGTCATCCTAATGTTTGTCATATTGGAATTTTCTTGTGCAATTCGACATTTTTGAAACTACGAACTGTGGCTAGTCATTTTCCTTTTTTGCGAGCAATCAAAGATATGATATATGCATTACTTAAATGTTACAGGAATATCCAAGATGTTAATGAAGCTTTGAATAATTGTGATTTGGATAAAATGAATGATATTGCATCCAAAGCTTCGTCGTTTTCGGTATTTCAATGCAAAAGCACAGATGAAGTGTCATTAGATGAAACTGAAGTATTAAATAAGCTTCATGAAGGTGTCAAAATTTATTATAACACTTTGAACGATCTTCCATTGAATATTTGTGTTTCTTGCGAACGATTTTGTCGCAATAAAAGTGTAGTAGATGTTAAAAAATATGAACCAAATGTTGCATGTGAATTATTAGGAATTACGAATGATGCTTGGGTAAATTTAGTGCAATACTATGAAAACAATAATTTGATAGAAGTATTTGACAATGGTAAGATTTGCAAAACTTGTTTGGAAAAACTTAAAAAAAATTCTATACCCCCTACGTGTCTTTTAAATAATCTTTACTTCAAACCTATTCCTGACGAATTGAAATGTTTGAACATGTATGAAAAGATTTTAATTCAGCGTGCAAAAGCATTTCAAGTTATCCAGAAAAAAACCACCGTTATGAAAAAAAATTTACCTCATTACGCTCGCCATGACAAACTCGTTGGGAAAGTTTTTCATTTGCCTCTACCTTTAGATGAAACGTTACGAAAATTGTGTAAAGAAACCGATCCATTGAACACTGCTCATGAGTTATATATATTGGTTAGAAGTATTCCAACTAAAGGTAACATTATTTGGGAAGAATATGTAAATGTAAAAAGACTATGGGATGCTTTGAAATGGCTTAAAGAAAATAATAAACTGTATTCAAAAATTAATCTTCCTGCTAATCCAGAAGATTTAATGAATGAACTCAAAGATACAGATTTAGAATATGTTGAAGAAGATTCTGTTAACAAAGTAGACCAAGGCAGTTGCAAGGAAGCTACAGGTATTACTAAAATGCCTGAGCCAGAAGCTTTATTGACAGCAAAATCGCAATCGGACCCATTTTACGATGAATATACAATAAATGCTTTGCATGTTAAAAAACCAAATGAGTCAGATATAAAATTATATCAAATGAAAAAAGTTTATGAAACTCCTTTAGCTTACAATGAGATGGACTTAGATTTGAAATGTTTTCCAGACATTTATCCCTATGGTGAATGTGGCCAACGTGTTCCGAGAGATATAAAATTAAGAGATTCTGATTTTATTAAACATATATTAACTCTAAACATTCACAATTTAGAGAAAGCAAACAATTACTTTTTTATTATCTACATGATAGCAATATGAGAAATCTCAACGCAGGAATTTATCACATGTTACATGTGTTGGATACACGTTACAAATACACAGCAGGAAGTTTCAAGAAACAATTGGATGACAATGTTTTAGAATCAAATCTTTACTCTATATTTTCTCGCTTGAGAGGAACTGAAGCATACTGGCGAAGACCGAGAAGAGAACTGAATTGTATGGCGCAGGAATATGGTCCAGTAACATTTTTCGTAACGTTAAGTCCAGCAGAATGGAACTGGCCTGATTTAGCTGAATTCATACGAAATTATCAATCGTTGGATGATGATTCTAGATCTAATAGTCAACTCATTGTGGACTATCCTGTGCCAGCTGCAA